CATTGAAATAAATGCAGGGAGCAGATCTTCTAGATGTGTGAATTTAAAGAAGTCGTGTTTCACATTCTGTTTTCTCTCCAGTAATTAAAGTCAGCTGGATGACGGAGACTCAGAGGGAAAAGCTCCGAGCTGTGATGTGAAAATGAGAGTTGATGTTTGGAAATTTAGGTGTTTAAAGACCATTTCAMGTAATCCAGAAAGTAAACTCTCAAAAGCCATTCTGCTCTTACAGCTAATATCACGACGTGCCTTTTCAACAATGAATGTGTTTGTTTCATTGAAACTGTGAATCTAAAACCATTTAAGCTTGGAAATAAATTGGAAATAATAAAACAGAAAACCTAAGAAGTGGCATTGTTGTTTTCTTTAAGTCAATGCTGAAAACCTAAAATTAGTCTTTAAATAAAATAATTTAGTCTTTTTGAAAAAAAAAAGGCTCAAATTTTCTCAACATTTAAATATTATTTTAAATTTATTACCATGAATGCCATAAAACATTCACACTATTGAGGTCATCCGTCTTCCTTCCATACATTTTTCGGCACATATCTCGCTCTACAATTTTTGTACCATTTCAACTATTTGTGTATCAAAACTTTTAGCTCCTTCAGGACTTTTCAGCAGYTTTTAGGAGATATAACACCACATTTTTATTCTATTGAAAATAGAGTTGTCTTTAAAATCCTTCAGAATATTAAACATTTTTGCAATTTTCACCCTTTTGTTTTGGTGTTTTTTTTATTATTTTGTGCAAATTTTAGCTTCTGTCAGCTTAAATTTAACCAATTTGTGCTATTGCTATGTTTGTCCTTTTTAGCATTTCAGCTAAGTTATGTATTTTTGTGTTTCTAACCGCTTCTTTCAGCTTTTTCTACTATTTAAGCTACTTTTTAGCCATTTTCAGCTAAGTTCATATTTTTTTTTAAATGTGCCTTTTCTGTTTTGTGCTAGATTCAGCTTTTTCAGCTATTTTCTTTACTTCTATGCTAATTTAGCTTTTTTTTTGGCTATTTTACAACAAATTACAAAAATCTTTTCTTTTTGTTCTGCAAAGATGTTTCAATATTAAGCATTTATTAAGCATTTTTGCAGAAAAAGCAAATTCTCTAGGTTCATTAATTTATTCTGGCTATATATATTTTTTCATAACCAATAGAGATATAATAAAATAACCTGATGAGAAAATGTCTTAGATGCATTTTGAACTCAGGCAGACAAAGTCGAGTCAATAAAGCTGCATGACGGCGGATGAAGTAGAATGAAGCTGATATGGAGCGAGTGTGACACCAACCAGGGGAAATCAGCTGAGGGCAGAGAGCATGCAAAAACACAAGAGGTGGAGTTGAGGCCAACAGGCGTAAAATCCTCTCATTAATAAAATCTGCTTATGAAATTAGAACATCTGATAAGACACACACACACACACACACACACACACACACACACACACACAC